ATGACATTTTAGTAGTTGTCATGCATTTTGTTGAAGATCATCCAGTTGTGTTTTCCATACCAGAGTAAGGAGTGATTGATTGTGATACAGTGTACATTGGTGGACATATAGAAGGGTATGATTCTTTAAATTTAATTGAAAATATTCGTTTAAGGATTTTTTATTTATATGTATGTTTTCTGTAAGTAGTAATAAAATACTAATTAATATTCAATACTGTATTAAAAGCATTCCTATTATTTTGTTAATTATACAATAAATTTATTCCACTCCTGATAATTAAAAAAAAAAAAAGACTTCGATCTGAAAGCCAGTTACCACCTCTGTGATCCAGGCCAAGTTCTTAACCTGAGCCTCAACTTCCTGAACTGTGATTTGGAAATGGAAGGGAATCAGCTCACCATTGTAAGGATTTAATGAGATAGCACGTATAAAGTACCTGGAAAAATGCCAGCAATTACACAAATGTTGGTTTCCTTTTTCTTCAGGAGCACTACTGGGCCTGGATGGATATGGCACCAAGTTCAATTATTATGTGACTGTGGAGGTCACATATCTGCAAAGCCATGAACCTGGCTCATGTTTTGAAGCTTTCTCCAAAACTCCCCTGATTTTCTGCCAAGAATATTAAAGGTTGAGACCATGCCTATCACTGAGCGTTCTCAGCCCTTGAGTTCCCATGTTACAGGCACAGGAATATATTCCTGCCCACCTAGTCTTCATTCATGCAACAAAGCTAATCTCACACTCAAACTGCTACTTTTCAGCAGTAATAAGCTCTCTACTTCTCTCTACTAACCTAAGTATAATCTCACCACCAAGAGAGAACTCCTTTCTACCTAGTAAATTGTGTCTACCTCTGCCTCCCCATTTTAACTAATTGTATCTTGTTACCACAATGCCTTCAACAAGAGTACAGCAAAATTCCTGACACAGATTTGGAGTAGCACCTGCCAAGTTACATATTGTAATTAAAGGCAACTTTGCTGTAAGCTTAGTAATACTGACCCCTAACATATGCCACAGCAATCTGCAATCTGTGCATCCTCCCAGACATTTCACTATTCAAACAATGTAACACACCCACAATTTCTACATGGAAGTCAGATCTGGATTTAAATGCCAAGGTTCTTGTTTATTTGGCAAATGATCAAGGGTGGTTATTTGATTTGCTAGTTTTATTTTTTAAATGAAAATAATGCATATTTGTATCATAAAGCAGTTCTGAGATTAAACAATATATGCAAAATACTTATAATACTGTTTGGTACATAATAGGAAATAGTAGTTACAAATATTTCTATAATGTTTCCCATATCGATTTATGTTAAGTAGTTTATTAATTTAGTCAACATAACTGAAATAGGCATTACCATTATTCCCATTTTGTGGATGGGGAGCCTAATAGAAATATTAACTATGAATCTGAATCAAAATTTCCAACTCAGCTTAGAACACCAATAAAACTCACCGCCAGCCACAAAGACAGAGTGGTCCTATCATCTATGGCTATTACGCAGGCTCTTTTTGAGTATTTGCTATACTGGAATCAATTCTCTCTTCATTTTCCTCTTGTGAAGCCACCAGGAAACCTTTTCTACAGTTAACTGTCAAGTCCTTTAACCTTCAGGGATCATAATCTGCCTAATCTTTTATTATTAATCAAAGGCAATTAAGTACTGTTGACACAAAGAGATCATAAAACCTCAAGGAACCTGCTATCCTTTGCAAATGATTCACAATATACTAATGTTGGTTCTTCCTCTATGAATTACAACAATAAAATTTAACAATCAGAAAGTATGCCTTGCAGGGCATAGTGGTACACACCTTTAATCCCAGCACTTGAGGCAGAGGCAGAGGCTGGTGGATCTCTGTGTGATCAAGGTCAGCCTGCTGTACATAGCGAGTTCCAGGTCAGCTGGGGCTACAGGGAGACCCTGTCTCAAACAAAAAAGAAATGAAATTATGCCTTTCTTCTCTACAATTTGGTCTGAGAAATACTCCTCTAAATCAGAATTCTTACAGTTAAGAGCACTGACTGCTCTTGCAGAAGACATGGGTTTCATTCCTAGCACCTACATCGCAGCTAACAAACATCTCTAAATCCAGTTCCACGGGATTTGACACCCTTTTCTGACCTCAGCAAGCACTGCATAATAAAGGTGCACCTACTTATATGCAGGCAATACACTCATCACATAAAAATAGATAAAATATCTTAAAAACATTTAAAGCAGGGATTGGCGAAATGGCTCAGTAGTTTAGAGAACTGGTTGCTCTAGCAGAGGACTTGGGTTTGATTCCCAGCACCCACATGGCGGCTAACAACCGTCCAAAACTCCAGTTCCAGGGGAATCCGACTCCCTCTTCTGACCTCTGTGGGCATTGCATGACATGGGTGCACTTACATACACGCAGGCAATACACTCATACACTTTAAATTTTTTTTTAATTAAAATTAAAAACATTTTGGGGGTGGCACATACCTGGTAATCCCAGCTACTTGGGAGGCTGCGACAGAGGATCTAAATTTCAAGGCCAGTCTTGGAAACGTTGTAAAACCTTGTCTCAAATGAAAAACAAAAAGGACTGGGCTGTAGCTCAGAGTACTTGCCTACTATTTTTGAGATCCTGGATTCAATCCCCCCTACTACTAATACAGAACAAATAAAAACTCCACATTTTAAGAAGGGGTCCAGATATTTCACAAGACTATAAAGAGATCTGACACAAAAACAGAATCTCCATCAGGAAGTCAAGGCCCAAAGGAGTATGGAGATCCCCAACCAATAGAACCCAAGAGCTGGCATGTAAACATCAGTCCAATCAATGACTGAGCCTTGGGGAGGCCTGTGAATAGCTGCAAATGGAGAAGGTAGGCCTGGAGAGAAGATCAGGGAGATGCTGGTTCCAGCTCTTCCCTAAAACTTTCACTGAGAACCACTTCAGAAAGTGCAGAACATGGTCTAATCACAGGAATTCTGCCCTAGTTAGGCTGCACTTTGGACATCTACATTTCTTACCACCCAGCAAGGATGCTATTGAACCCATTTCACAAAATGAAGTAACAGAGGCCTCAACCTGCTGTGCCTCCTCTCTTTCAGAAGGCTCCTGCTCTCCACAACACGTGATTCATTTGTAACAGAACCAAAATTAAAGACTGAGATCTCCATAGCTACTTAGTACTGCTTTAAAGCACAGCCCTTAGCATATTCCAGTATGGCTCTAACTTTTGAACACATTAGGAGGAATCTGTTAACTATGATAAAACTTTGGATAAAAATCTGCTAACAAATATCTACTGCTCAAGTCAAATTAAAGTTGCTCCCCACAACTGCACCATATTTGCTCCTTTCTTCTTCTATCAGTTAACCAGTTGTGTGGCCTGGTCCAACCATATTCAAGGCAACCAAGCAGTGTTTCAAAGACTCACGGGATGCATACCTTTATGGTAACATGATGTAACCAGCACAGAGGGGAAGGAGCCCTGGGAAGTGATGGAAATGATTATCAACTCCAAGAGAATGGTGCAGAACAGAAGTACTTCACAAATACCGCTTGTATGCAGTTTTGAAATTATGTGATTTCTTGTAAGATCCACCAGCTAACTCTTGAAGAATTTGAGTACAAATATAATGGAATTGTGATTTTCCTATATGAATTAGTGGCTTTTATGTAAGTAGAGATCCAAAGTCAGTAACTGGACTATTTTCACTGCCCAAGTTAAAAAATTACATCATCCTTTTTTCTGTATTGAAGAGCATTATTTATACAGTAAAAATGTGCGTGGTATGCAGTCCAAAAAAAAAAGGTCAAATCTTTGAGTGATCTTTTAAACAAATACAGTTCAACATCCTGATTTCCAGTAGGGAAGAGGTTGGAACACAGGTTTGGAGTGCCCCCGCCCCGCCCCGGGGAGGGGGGGATGCCTACATAGAGCGGCTGAATCCAGCTGTAAACTCAGGTTTGGACTTTCAAGACCTGTTGCAGAATTTCATAACCATGCATTCTTGTATCCCTGTTTGTATCTGAATGGTGGAAAGTTCCAGAAAGAGCTGGAAATAATCAACTAGAATTTCTCTGTGGTTTCTTCTACATTTAAGATCCTGTGCTGGTGGGCAGGGACCACCAAACAATGGGATTGCCTGGAACTCTGTTCCACAGCCGAGGAGGGACTGGGGTTGGGCGGGCTATGGAGCCGCTCACCTCCTCTCAGAGCACCGACCCAGCTCCGGAGGTCGGTCCCGCTAGGCAAACACACTCGGAGCCCAGAAGCCCCCGGCCGGTCGCAAAAAGGAAATCAGCTGCCACGAGAAATTCCAAAGCCCGCCTTTCCCCCAGTAGAACGCGATTCGGGAAACGAAAGGTCTCATGGGACTATCTACCTGCCTCAAGAACAGGGATTCCAGCGCAGGGCCGGCAATGGTAGCGAAAGCAGGTGTGCTTGGGACCCGTCAGCGGGCCCGAGGCTGGAGGATGGATGCGGAGCACAGGATGGGGCAGAAGGGAGAATGACAGAGACGGCGGGGCGGGAAGGTGCCGAGGACCCGGAGACCGGCGTGGGCCGGAGGCCTCAGGACGAGCCGCCCCGCGCTCATACTCACCCGAGTGGGAGGCGTGAGCACGCGGTACGGGCGGAGCTACCAAGGCCGGGAGGAGGGAGCGCGCGGGCAACCTGGGAACCCCGCGGGCGCCCATCGGCGGCGTTTAAATACCCATTGTGGGCGTGGCCTCACACGCCCCGCCCACCGCTCTGGCCACGCCCCGCGGATTTCGCGACCTCTACCGCTGCCTGTGTGAGGGTGAGGCCACGGGTGGCGGGCTCTGGGCTCCGGTCGCGGGACAAAAGACTGGCGTCCCGCCTCTTCCTGTGGCTTCGCGCGTCTGCAGCTCCCGGAGACTCGGGAGCGCTCCTCGCCGTCCCCGCCGTCCCCCGTCCCCTGCCCCCTGCCCACGAGCTTCCCAAGCCTCAGGACCCGCGGAGAGGCCTTCTTTACCTGGGGCGGGCCACCGACCTTCCCCCGGGCGCCGATCCCTAAGGGGCCGCCCTGGGCCCGCCGCGCCCCGCCACCGTCTCCTGGAAGTCCAGTCGACTGGATGCGCTTCCCTGGTGCCAGATAATATCTGGTCGGATTTCCAGTTTCTGGGACTCCGCAGCTTTCCTGTCGTTAAAGAGCCACGTTCCTTTTCTAGACTAAACAAATGACGTTATGAAAACGCCTCATTCCCCAAGTGTTTTGCTTTCCCCACCACTCATTGATGAGTGGGAAGAAACCCACAACCCACGCAGAAACCTGGCGCCAAAGGGCGGTGGGTTTCGGTTTGCTGTTGTCAGAAAAGCCCAGGGAGGCGGATTCCCTAGAAAGGATCTAAAACCTGAGCTGAGGGTGATTCATTGTTTTAGATAAAAAGGAATATAATGCCGTAACTGTCTGGTTCACAGTCTAGGCCTTCTGTGCCTGTCACAAACCAATCATCTCTTCCATCCAGAGCGTCCCAACACCCTCCTATTAACAGGCTGGGTTCCTTAGAGTGGGGAACGTTGTAATATGCCTCCACCCACCAGATGCCAGTAAAACTCCTGCCCTCACGTATTGTCTATAAAAAAACTTTCACTGACTTTGCCAAATGTCTTGTTTGGAGGATGGCAGGGTTAAGAAGCTCCTCTGGGGTGTATGCATGACAAAGTACAGACGTGGCTTATAATATTGTTTTATTCTGTATGCAGTCCAGAATAAACTCATAACAGCAGCCAGATTCTGTCCACTGAGGACTGTACAAAAGCACGAAAGTAGTGATTGACATCTCCCGAGGTTGCGGCAGGAGTCTGGAAGTGCTGGTCCTGCTGTGGGCTTTTCTAAATATGGACATTCTTACTTTTCTGATTCCAGTCTGTCGCCGAGGCCCTACATTTGCCTCAGCAGCTTACTGTACTTCATTCTTCTTGGGTAGGTTTGTTTTTCACTGGCGGAAACTAAGTAGTTATGTCCTGTGAATACTGGTTTCAGCAAACCATTGGCGTTTTTCTGTTACCCTTGAGATGGGTTTAGAGTCTTTTCCTGGAAGGGCCTGCAAGACCTGGCTGGCTTTCTGTCAAGCTCATTTGCTCCTAAACTCCATGGCCACATCTTGTCACGTGGAATGAAGCTTGTTTCCGACATTAAACTATTTCTTCTGTCTGTTCTGTGTATAATTCGCAGTGAATCTGGAAATGGTGTACATTTAATTTTAAATGTATGAATATTTTAATATAGTGTATTATTTAAATATTTAAACTTAATTGTGAACATTTATAAACTCTAAGCTGTTAAAGTGGTGGTAAGAAAAAATGACTTTAAAGTTGAACATGTGGTTTCAACATACAGCTCTCCAACTGCTGTTGCTTGGGTCTACAATGTTCCCCAAAGGTACGGGTGTTATAGGCTTGGTCCTCAGACCTTAGCGCTATTGGGAACAGGTGGAAGCTTTAAGAAGTGACCTAATGAAGGTCTCAGCTCATTAGGGGTGTACCCTCAAAGGGTTTACCAGATCCTGGTCTCTTCCTTCCTGTCTGTTTCCCAAGCTGCCTTGAGTGGATGGAGTTTTCTTTGCTCCATGTTCTGGCCTATGTATGATGTGCTGTGCTGTTTCATTCACCACAGGTCTAGAACTCTAAGCCCAAACCTTCACTCTTGTTTCACCTGCTGGGAATCAAATCTAGGGCTTTCCATGCGCTAAATACATGCTGTACTGCTGAGCTTCAGCACTAGCCAAGCAGCGCTCAGTCCCCTAGTAGCTTTGTGAACTTGGCCTAAGTATTTAACCTATTTCACTTGTTTCTTATCTGTAAAAGAATACTGCATACCTTGTAGGATAACAAATCACATGATGTATGGTAAATGCCAAGCACAGCACCTGGCCCAGGGTAAATAACTCAGTAAAAGATGATTGTTATGTTAGGGATGGCTATCTCAATAACCTTTTCTGCCTCTTGAGAAAGAAATGCATATTGTACTTTGCTAATCACTCATGTTGCTTTCCTGAGGGTTTGGTAGTAAGAAGGTATTAAGTGTTCTCCAAAACAAAAGTCTCTAGCAGAAAAAACTTGTGTGACTATAAAGGGGCTACTGGGAGAAATTTGCCTTCATTGATAAGAACAAACCCTTCTTTACTGTCATGTGTTTCTAGTCTGTTTGACCCCTTGTCAATAGGCAACATTGAAGGTTAAATATGTCTGAAAGAGTGTGTCCTTTTCCCACTCAAAACACACACTATCCTTGTAAGAACTTTGTTTTCTAGAACCTATCAACCAATTATGAATCAAATTTCTCTGTCAAGGTCGTTGTCCTAAGGAAAGTCGAGCCAAGATTGCTTTTCTTCATGACCTGTGTCTGAAGCTTAGATTTTTCAGATGTTTTTATTATATTAATTTTTTGCCACTTTTTTTTTTCGTAATTCTGGATCAGATGACTGTGACTAGAAACAAGGCCTCTTTATCTTAAGGCAGAGCATTCCTTCCTAGAACCAGTGAGGCTATGAGGAAGAGGAATTTTTTAGTGTATGTTAAATAAAGGAGAAAACTTTTCACACAAAAAGAAGCAGTGGCTTTATTTTATTGCTTAGTCAAGATTTAGTAGCAGTGGCGGGAATTATAAAATGTTCATGCACAACCCTACTACTCTGATACATTTTCTGACAAAGAAAACAATAAGTTACATATGCTTAAAATCTGAACGATTAGAGTATCTTATTCTAGATATTTGTCATAGGCTTTTCTTTAATCTTCCATAGACTTTTAAAAATTCTTTAGTATTTTTATTTTATGTTTATGAGTATATTGCCTTAACGTAGGTAAGTGCACCTATGTCATGCAATGCTCTCAGAGGACAGAAGAGGCCATCAGGTCCCCTGGAACTGGAGTTACAGACAGTTGTTAGCTGCCACGTGGGTGCTGGTATTCAAACCCTGGTCTTCTGCAAGAACATTCAGTGTTCTTAACTGCTGGGCCATCTCAATGTAATTTTTTAAAAGTCCATATGTATAGCTGAAGGCTACATAACAAGAAACAATGACAGGAAATACCTTCCTTTGAGTTGTTGGCCAGGGTGGCCCAAAAGACTCCCAGACAGTAACCCAGAATAGAACTGGGAAAATGAACAGCAGACCCCATTATTATTTTTATTTTATGTTTATGAGTATATTGCCTTTATGTAAGTAAGTGCACCCATGTCGTGCAACACTCTCAGAGGACAGAAGAGGCCATCAGATCCCCTGGAACTGGAGTTACAGACAGTTGTTAGCTGCCATGTGGGTGCTGGGATTCGAACCCTGGTCTTCTGCAAGAACATTCAGTGTTCTTAACTGCTGGGCCATCTCTTCAGCCCCAATCTTCCATAGACTTTTATTCCTCGTACTTGCTTTTGTTCTTAACCAGGTACTCTTTCATCAGTAGTTACAAATTTCCTTCTGTAGTGTTGTCTTTTATTACCATAAATTTAATGCTTTCTTTTAGGCCAAGACTTTTTAACTTTCCTAGCACTGTGTATGTTTTATTTTTTTTATTGTAGTGGAGTTTTTCTAGCTCTACCATTGTGAGAAGGCAACTCATTTCATCTGTGTTACCATAGTCCCCCAAATGCCCAGTATTACTTTCTGTTATTTTCAAACAGGACATCAGCTTCTTCATTTGCATTCACAACTCCCAGGCAACATTATCTCATCCATCATCCACCATGTCTCAGATTGTCCATTTTCTCCCATGTTTATATTCACCATCTCTGCTTGGAGGGACACGTGGCTTTCCTACACACTATCTTCTTTGACTGTTTCAGTGTTTGTTGTTGTTTGCTACTATTTGGTTTGCTTTGGTTTAGTTTTGAACCAGGTCCTGTTGTGTTACCCATGCTGATCACCTCCTGGGCATAAGAGGTCCTCCTTAGCCTCTCAAATGCTGAGACTACAGGTATCTACCATCATACCTGGCTTACTCTGGCATTCTTGTTTTGGGGGTTTATTTTGTAAGTTGGAAAATAACATTTTATTGTGTTTCGGGGATTCGGCTGGCATCTGCTCAGATTTTCTGGAACTGCTTCTTGGTGCCAGAAGGCCTGTTGGCCTTAAACACCTTGAAGTGCATGGTCTTGTTTAGGGGCCTGCACTTGCCCATGGTGACGATGTCACCTATCTGCATGTCCCTGAAATCGGGGGGGGGGGGGGGGGGGGGCAGGTGCACACATATGTTCTTGTGATTTTTCTTGAACCCATTTTACTTTCAGATGCAGCCCCTGAGGATGACAATGGTCCTCTGTATCTTTTGGACAGGATCCGCCCTCTGATGGAGACATTAAAGGTGAAGGGACATTTCTTGTCTATGAAAGTGCCCTCAATGTCCTCTTTGGGTGTCTTGAAGCCTAGACTGATATTCTTGTAATATGGGGAGTGTCTCCTTGCTAGTTTCTCCCAACAAGATCCTCTTCCTGTTTTGAAAGAGGGTGGGCTGCTTTTGGTAAACATGATAGGCCTGAATGGCCACCATCTTCCTGGTAGCCTGAGGAAAAAAAGCATTCTGGCATTCTTTAGCCATATTACCTTGCTTTTCAACTTCTGTTTCTGCTGCATCCTTTCTGCTGCATCTGAAAAGATGACAAAATGCTGTCTTCTTTATATTCTAAAAAGCCGACCAATGTCCCTGACTCCTGTACTAGTTATTTGTAGTCTCTTCTCTGTATCCATTCCTCTTTTTCCCAGAGGCCTGGTGTCACGGTTGGCCTAGTTTGTCAACTTGACATTCCAGGGAAGAGGGAACTTCAATTGAGGAATTTCCTCTATTGGATTGGCCTGTGAGCATGTCTGTGAGGCATTTTCTTGATTGCTGAGTGATGTGGGAGGGTTCAGCTCAGTGTGGGTATACATGCTGAGCATGTAGCCGTGGTTATATATTGGTTGTATAAAAAGCAGGCTGAGCATAGGCTAGAGGAGCAAGTCAGAAAGCAACATTCCTCCATAGTCTCTGCTTCAGTTCCTGTCTCCAGGTTCCTGAGTCTTGAGCTCCTGCCATGGAGCTCCTCCATGATGTAAGTGAAATAAACCCTTTCCTCCCCAAGTTGCTTTTAGTCAGTGATTTATCACAGCAACAGAGACGCTAACTAGAACACCTTGGCTCTCTTTGGGAGTCCGTATGGTTTCAAGGAAGTAATTCCACAGCTGTAGTTTAAGGTGGAGCATTGGCACCAACCAAGGCATCCCAGCCACAGGCTTAGATAAGGGTGGTGTGGTGGTTTGAATGAAAATGTCCCCCATAGGCTCCAGGTATTTTGACATTTTGTGCCCAGATGATGGTGCTGTTTTGAGAGGTTTTAGAAGGTGTGGCTATCCTGGAGGAAGCACGTCACTGGGGGTGGGCTTAGAGA